AGATCTTCAGAAACCAGAAACAAGCTATTCTTAAAGCAAGATCATAGACTGGATGGAGTGGGGGGAATGTTCTGCTCAAGACTGGCTGATATTAATGATGCCTCCACACTAGCAAGCATCAAAAGCAAACTGCTGTGCTGGTGGTTTTGTTGCCTTAGAGCAACGAGCAAGTCCGAGATGCTGCAGAGGGAGGCAAAGGTCCAGCTCGTTTGCTGCTTCTGCCGAGTCTTCTGGTGACGGTGTCAGACACTCTGGAAACTCGTTCCATCTTTGCGGCTCTGCTTGTGGGAAGCTCAGCCTTGGTCCCCAGCCCGAGGGCTGGGTCTGCGTGTGGGAGCTGCACTGCGCCTTCCAGGTGAAATGAGGATTTTCCTCATTGGATGCCCCAGGGTGTCTCAGCTCTGAGTTCAAAACATTTTTAGTTACTACCTTTTTCCCCCCTCTTACTCCTTTTTTCTGTGCTTGGCTTTAGTTTAGTTACCTCTAAACTTCCCTTCTTGTCTCCCCTTCTGCTCCCACCTTGGTGACAGTGTGGTTTGAGACTGTGGGAGGGGGTAAATGCAGTGGGATGGGGGGCCAGGGGCTGACGTGCACTTCTGCCTGCATCGCCTGGCCTGCCAGACGTGCCAAGCCGGTGACTTTGTGCTGCTCTGTGTGTCATTGCGATGCACAAGTGCTGTCCAAAGAGGAGAACAACTCTGGGAACACCGAGGATTAAGGATTTATGAACTGGATGTGGGCAGAATAAGCTGGGAGGAGGGGGAGTGCTGTAGCATGGCCCTGAACTGCCTTCAGTGGTGTCAGCTGAGGCTGGCAGGGCACCCCGGGGGACACGGGGAGGCTGCTCGGCCCCGCTGCCTCCAAGCCAGGGAGCTGCGTTGGGCACCCGGCCCAGCAGGCAGGGAGATGCTGCTGCTCTGTCCTGGGCTGATCAGTGGGCTTTCCTCTGAGAAACTGAGTTTCACTTGAAAGATGATGCGCTCAGTTTAGCTTTATCCTCCATTTCTGCTCCCCACAGACCACACCACTGAATTATCTCATGTCTTGGATGTCCAAAAATAGATGCTCAGGGCAACGTTACTGTCTTTGGCATTCATTGCATGAAAACTTAGACAGGGCTTTTGTCATATTTTGAAGTCAATTACAAGCTAATTTTCTACTGATTAAAAATATCCTGATGGCTGTTTTGTTGCTGCAGAGTAAAGCCTTCTAGCACATGCAAAACAAATTTGGCATGTCCTTCACCAAAGGCCGAGGCCAGCCCTGTGCTGGCCTTACGTAAACTTTGGTCCCTGTACGTGATCACCTGCTCCCTCTGGGTGTCTCCTGAGCTGTCATCACGAGGAGGGCTAGGACATGAGCGCGGTGGCTTTCCCTGAGCGGGTTTGGGAGGTGCTGGCAGCGTGTGGAGGCTCCGTGGTGGTGCTGGGGCCACCAGCAGGCGCGTGAGGCGCAGAGCTGCTGCGCTGGGCCGTGAGGGGGAAGGGTCAGTGCCTGTGAGGTTCAGCTGCCCTCACGTCTAGGTGGGGATGAAGCAGAGCCTGGTTAATTCCTGCTCTGGAGGAATCAGCTGGGAGAAAAAGTGAGTGCTGCCAAGCTGAGGTGAGTGTCCACCTGGCAGGGCGTCAGGATCGCTCGCCCTGTTGGCCGGGCTGTGCCCGTGCAGCTCGTGGCAGCAGGTCTCTGCCCCTTCTCTGTGGGTTCGCGCACGGAGTTACCTCAGGTTCCAGTAAAGCTTTGGTCATCGTTGGACCCAATCTGCTGTGATTGATGGGTCTGCTCTCCCTGCTGCTCTTAGACACTTGTGGTGTCAAGAATCAGAGAAGCTGGTAATGGGCTGCATAAATAGGGTGGAAGTGATGACACCATGTCAAACTGTCACTCACTGTCACTTGACTCTTCCACACTTCAGTGTGAAGGGAGGATTTGCAGGATCAAACCTCCCTCTGCTCCTTTAGCAAGACTTTTCCAGTTATTTCCTTGCTTAGTGCATCAGCCAGGACTCTACTTCTCCGCATATTGTGCGTGTTGTCCTCTGTCTAGGACAGAGTATGACCCACGCTCTTAAGCTGCTTTGTGTCAAGGCATCACTGAGGTGTACAGGAGTTGAAAAAGTCTAAAGAATTAGGGAATGAGCAGGAAAATCTGAGTGGTGTTGTATAACTCAACTAAGAATCACTAGTTCTGGAAAGGATCAGATTGGGTGTCTTTAAGGTAAAGATTGTTTTGGGCAAGAGACTGGGATGGAGGAGATAGGTTAGAAAATAGCTTATTTGAGCTCCCTGTTTCTGGAGAGTTTAAAGCTGGGTGCTTACAACATAGAATCAACAAAGACCTTGATGTCTATATAATATATAATGCTACCTACCTTCAGTGCGATCTGTGGTCTGTCTGGAGCCACCTTCCTTCCTTCCACCTTTTGTCTGCACAGCTTGGAGGCGAGCTGTACAAGCTCAGCACTGGCTGCTATTCTCTAGCTGTACAGTGACTTAAAGCCCCATTGTAATAGGTGCTATTGTAACCCAAGGAAACCTGGGTCCTGCCAGCTGGGCTGCCCGCTGCTGCCCTGCAAATGAACTGCTGCTGCTCTAGACTGGGGTGAAGAGCAGGGGGAACCATTGACTGCACTTATGGGAAGATCAGATTAGCTCAGTGCGAGACTGTAGCTGCTGGTCACTGTGTGGATCACTAAAAAACCCACTTGTGGTGATCTGCACACACGGACCTGCACTGCTTGCCAAGTTATCTTGAGCTCTCTAACGTGCTTCAAAATAACAGGTTTTGTTTTCCTAAGAAAAAAGCTTCACAGCTCTTTATTTCCTCCTTTTACTATGTAGCAGCTAGCAACGGAAAAAGCAGCAGCAAAGGAAACTCTGTTGCTGGGTTGCTTGCACAGAAAGTCCTTAGGCAGAGAGCAGGGACAGGGTGGAACATGGCACTGGGTCTAAAATAGGCTTTGCTGTTTCAAAGGCTGAAAAGCTGCTTTATACGGGAGCCCAAATGCAACGGGATAATATGGAATATGAAGTGGTAAGGAGGAGGCTGTCAGTGTGAGAACCTGTAAGAAGCTCTGGCTGGTTTATGGAAAGCTCTCTGAAATTACAGGATACCGTCTAAAGTAACTCAGCTGGAGATGAGTCTCCGTGAGTATTGTTAACTTTTCCATGACAAGCAGTCATATAACATCTAAACCAACAGTCAAGGCAGACTCTTTTCCTTCAAGTATGATATGTTTTTTTCTTTGGGCTTTACAAGGGGATTGGGAAGTGCTGGTTAAGATTTCATTAACTCACTGAAGATTTCTGCTTTCACTTGCACAGATGAAATCATGCAGCAGGAGATACGACCGCTGGTTGCAGTGGATATAATAGAGCAACTCCACAGGCAATTTGCCATCTTATCAGGTAAGAAGTTACTGGTAATAGCACTCTGATTCTCCTGGGTATGTGCTGGAATCTGTCATGCTGACTGTCACCCTTCAGCTCTGCACAGCAGTTGCAAAAGCAATTTTATATTGCTAGTAAAAAGAGCCATTTCAATCAAACCTTCATAATGCATAAAACTGATAAATCCCACTTTCCTGTGCTTGTTTTGCTTCAGGAAAATTTTCTATGCTTTCTCCGTACACCTAAACGTGTTTAGAGGGCAAGAAACTTGAGCCTTTTTATTCTGTATCTTTGTATAATGTCTAAGCATCTTGTTTGTGGGAGAAGCTTTTGGCCCATCAACTATTCAGGACTTTCCCCCCTTTCTCAGTGCTTTTGTTTTACAAGTGGTTCACTTCTAAAGTGCACACAAAATGACACTATGTCTGTTCCGAAGAAATAGCAGATGTTGAAATACTTGCTAAATTATTTAAAACACTTATTTTGGCTGCTGGGAAGAAGAGTCCTTATCTAGTCCTATAATGGCCTCTGCTGTTTCTGTCTCTGTTTTGTAAAAGAAGAAACAGATTCACTTTCCTTATCTGTAGATGTAGATGACTAAGTACAAAACACTTAGTTGACCATATGTAAGGCGTTGTTATCCTCAGACAAAATACATTTGCTGTAAGTATATTCAATACGGAGTGAAGCATCTTTGAAGAATTCCTGTTCATCTGAAGGGTCACTCTCGTTCTGCTTGTGGGCACTGGTCTATATAGGGTATGTGCTATTGAACTCTCTTGCAATTATTTGGTGTTCACACACTGATGCTGTGCAGAATAGGGGGTGGGAGAAGTAACAGGCCCATCTCCCAAAGCCTGGAGCACTTCAAGAGGTGTTGTGGAGCTCAGCCTTCATGCCCTGTGAGGCCAGACTGCCTTAAATGTAAGGATTTGAGAACTGTCCTCAAGTGTGTTGCTCTCTGTGTCTAGGGCAGCAGAACAATTGCTGTGATCCACAGCAGCAGCACTGCTTGGAGGGGGTTATGGGCTGGGAGGCCTCTCTTTCTGTCGATGTGGGGCAGAGAGTTTGCTGTCCACGAAGGACGTGCTGAGAAATAACAAGTAGCCGTAGACACTGGCCCATCTCTGCCTCCCGCATTGAGATCAGGGTATGTTTGGGAGAGTGACGAAAGGCCAGATCCCTGCTGCTAATGAAGGTCTTGGCGAGGGCCGGGCATCAGTGTCCCTGGACTGAGGAGGAAGGGTCAAGCCCAAGCCCTGCAGCGCCTGCGTTGTGCTGCTCTTGGGCAGGCAGCCCCTCTCCTTGGGGAGCATTGCTGGGCACGTGCACGCCCTGCTCTGCAAACGACCAAGTCGCCAGGCCCAGTCCTCACTGCAGCCTCGCTTCTTTATGCTTCCAAGCTGCAACACAAATCTTAAGTTGTTTAAAACATGATTCTTATGAAGCTTTCTAGGTAGCATCCTATGGCAGTTTCCTAAGTGTGGTGGGCCAACTGTTCTGCGTTCAGCAAAGAGTATCTGCCTGAGGGGAGGTGGAAGCAGCTGCCTCGTATGAAGTGAAGCATTTCAAGGGTAGCACTGCCTAGAATTCCCAATATAAATACACCTACATGCAGAAAAGTGTCAGAAATGATGTGCAAATTTGTTCAGAGCTCTTGCATCACACCACTGTTTGCTGGACAAATGCACTTTTCAGCCTTGGTGTTAACTCCAGTCAGATCATGACTGGGCTGCTTTTCCACTCTTTTTGCAAGCAAAGAAAATGCTTAACAGCCGGCCTCTCCAGAATGCTCTGCTTGCTTTTCTGCTTTCCAGGCATGCAACGCTGGTGGAAAATAACATTGTTTTCAAGGCCTTTGATTTAACTAATACACCAGTGTCTGAAAACATTTATATCAGTGTAAACAATACCGAGTGTGTTGAATTCAGGGCTCTGTGTCATGTCAGTCTGGTAAAATGTGGAGGACTGCTTTTCTTAAATCCCTTTACCTTGCAGCATTTGAGACAGTAAAAGCTACACGTGAAGTGTAACATACAACTTGCAGGAAGTGATCTACTAAACAGGAAGAAAACCTCATTTCCCGTTCCAATGAGCAACGTTGAATGTGGCATAGAAATGACAAGGACAGATTAAAAAATATTTCAGGTATTTATGGGCTTGTTATTTCAGCAGTGCCTGTATCCTCACCTGCTATCTGACCAAACTCAAGATCTCTTTATCCCTTTGTCTTGCATCTTAGTCTGTCAGTGACTGGTGCTGAGATGCTACAGAAAACACAGGGAAGAACAGGAGTCTTCCTTGCTATCCCCTCACTGCCCCTTGCAGACTGAGACTTAACTACTTACACCAGAAATGGCCAGGCTTTCCAAAAAGCATTTCTCTATTTTCGTTCCATCTAGCAAAGAACTAGGAGCAGTGTGGTGGGTTTTTTTGTTCTGTTTTCTTACTCCAATGAAAGCTGGTCTGAGAGCTCTCCTGCCTCATTTCACTTATTAAAGTAATTCACACAGATGACCTCATTTGATTTTCGGGCAGCTCCCTGCTCTTTCTTGCAGCCTGCTGCTTTTCATTAGGCCCAGGCAACCACAAATATTTCAGTGCTTCAGTGCTTGCCTGCATGGAGACCAAAACTCTTCTGGTATTTAGGCTTTTTCCTGGTTCTCCGTGCTGTGATATTTCAGCTCTGTAGTTGCTGCCTGACAAAGACTCTGCCTTTTGGCTCCCTCACAGTGGGTAGTAGGGCTCCCCCCTCTTGCTTGTAGAGTGCTTTGGACTGATGGATCGTGTAATCTGCTTTTCTGCCCAGGGTTGTAAAACCGGGCTGCACTGATTCATCCTAGCTGAGGTTGTTTCCTTCCCTCAGTAGGCTGCAGCCTCCCGAGGGCAGCTGCTGCCTCTTCCACATGTGCCTGCTCTGGACCCCTGAGCATCCAGCTCTGCGCGTGGTGGCGGTGCCGCCTGGCTTGTGCTACCCACATCTCACCTTTCTGAGCTCTCCTGCTCTGTCCTGAGGGCACCAGATCCACTTGTTCTATGCTCGTGGCAGTGACTCATTGACTCTTGTGACTCTGTAATGAGGATTTGATTAATTTCAGCTTTTTCTTACTGCCTGTCAGCAGGGGCAGCTGCAATGCAGACATGACATCCCTAGCATGAAAGCAGAAGGGATGAGGAGGACAAGCCAAGGCTGTTTGATTTGGATGTGTCTTGTTGCAGAGTGCAGCTGGTCCCAGTGTCTCTGTGGCTTCATCACTTTCCTCTACAGTTGCAGTGTGCAAACTTAGCAGAAAAGGAGCAGACTGTCTTGCAGTCCCTGGGCAGATGGCAGAGGTTATTACATAGCCAGTTAATGAGACTGATTGCTAGGGCCTGGTTATAATGACTGCATTAGATACAGCCTCTCTTTGTCCTGGCTCTCTAGCTACCAGAACCATCAAGGCTGTACAACCCATGCAAGAGCAGGGAGACTCCAAAACTTTCCGTGGAAGCTGTGGTTGTGGAAAAGGCTCCTTGCAATGTAATGCTGGGTCCTGAAGCACACACAGTCTACTCTGGTCCTCTTTTCCATGAGCTGACCCATCTCTGCTTAGCTTGTGAGATCTGCTGGAAGCAGTGGTTAAGTTCTAGTCTTGAAACTGCTACTGCTTCTCACTTTCCATGGAAACAACAATTTCAATTATGGTTTTACAGCTGTGACAACATAGAATTGCTTTGTGCACATACCCAACTATGTTTGACCATATGTTTCCTGTAGTTAAGGGTAGTTGTTAAGGTTTAAAATAGGGTAATACTGAAATGCTGACTACTCTAACATACACCAGTCTTCCACAAAGAATGGGGATGTATTAGCAAAATACTGCTCCTGTCCTGCTGACAGACTAAACCTGCTGTACAATCTGTGCTGCTCCTCTTTACCTGCAGTTTCACACTGTTCTTATCTGTAATTACTCTGTCAAAGAGCCTCACTTGCCAGCTGCAGCAATAATGGATCCTGTTACTAAATTGTGAATTTGAGATAAATTGTCATGATGTGTATTAGCAGAGATTCATTTTCTTTATGTTCCTGTTAGGTTAACAGACTTCAGTGGATGGAAGACTATATCTTAAAATGGTAACTGATTCCCAAGCCAGTTTAATTTCCAAAGTTTGGAGGGTATTTAACCATCTGCTTCCAGTTCAACTGTGTATTTTGGAAATCCTGGCCTGATCCTGCCAAAAAGGCAGTTTGGGGCTTGTATAGGGATTTATACTAGGAAGCCTGATTTAATTCCCAGGAGAAATTTCAGCATTTGCAATCCTTAATTCACATGGAGGGGAAATGGGAGAGGAGAACAACCCTGAAACCCAAAGCTAATCCTGAACATGGCACGAGCAAAACCTGAGGCAGCAAAACTTCAGCCAAGACATGACTGAACCCTCTGGCTGTCTGACCCACTGCATGAGCTGTGCTTGGCTCTGCTGTGACTCAGGCAGCTCTCTGCATGTGGGCAGACATGAGCAATTTGCTTCACTGTGACAGCAAAATCTGAAAGAAAACTTTCCAGTGCTAATGGATCAGTTGGTGCCTGGGAAAGGTTTAGCCAAACTATTGCAACTACTCCTCCCAAAGGGCCTGGTTTTCCAAGGGATTTGGTGTATTCAGTAAAACCTGGTGAGCTGTTACTTTAAAAAAAAATAGCTATTAATGTTACCAGAAAAGCTACTGGCTATTGGCTAAGAGTTAAAACGTAGACCCTGAGTGCCTAAATCTGGATATGTTTGGTCCCTGGACACACAAGGCATAGGTGGCCCAGAACTGGGGAGTGGGTACCTAGATCAGAGTTCTGTCCAGGTATTTGGCTCGCAGTTGTGCTCTCTTGCTGCTTTGATAGTCATACCACAATGTGACTTCAGCAAAGTGAGCTATCACACCTTTCATACTACAAAGCAAGACTAAAATACTAAACTTTTCCTATCTCCATTCCAAACCCTGTTGTCCCCTACACCTATTCCCCTGCACTGTTTCAGCTGCTTTGCTGCCACAGCTGAGTTCTGGCCCCCTGTTTAAAATGGGTAGCCGGGCACCTGGTAAGTCTATCACTGTATCCTATGACACATGAGCTTATTTTAAGAACTTGGGAAGTTATATCCTTGGACGCTAGAGGATCAGCACATGTCTGTGTGAGCAATGGTCCTGTTACCTGCCCTGCACTTCCCGGTACACCTTGCACGCCCTCTCCTGCTTTTCTTTCCCTTACCTATTCACCATATATTTTTCTCCTGTCACCCAGGATTTTCCTGTTCCTTTGGCCTGTAAGAGGAAAAGTTGAACAAGGAGCTGAGGTAGAAAATAAGGAGAGTGCTCAGGATGAGAAGGAAAGGGGAGCTGTGATTCCATGGGGAAACCAGACAGGCAGTTGAGCTGAGTTGTAGCCTCTTCCACTTAAGTCTTGCCTTTCACCAGATAGCCCAACTAACTGCTCCCGCTAATGATTTCTGCCTTTTGCTCCCCTAGTCACTGAGTTTTCTACATTTTTGTCAACACAAAAGGCTTAGCTGTTTATTGAAAATTTTCTGCAAGCCTACATCAAAATTAATAGTTCTTGTGCCCCTCTGCGCACACACGCACGCTGCTCTGGATTGGGAATAGGGCCCAGCATGGAGCTTGGGCACTGCATGAACGGGCAGGTCAAAGGAGCTGGAGCTCCTGAGGGAAAGCGGTGGAGCTGATGGTAACAGCGTGTGGTGTTTGTGGGAGCTGCCTGGGGAAGCTCGGGTTTCTGTCAGGAGATGGTGGCAAAACTGAGCAGAGCTTTTTCCACAGGCAAACCTGGGCCAGCTGTGACAGGGTGACCTGGGGTCTGGCAGTACAAGACCCCTGGGAAGCTGCTGGAGGCTCCCTGAGGGCAGCAGGGGCCAGGACCTGCCACGAGTTCAGCCAGAGGCCTCTGCTGCTGCCAGCTGAACCTCCAGCGGCTGCTGCTCGCCGGGGCCGCTGCCCGTTCCCTGGCCTGGCTCCAACACGCAGAGCTGCCAGAAGGCGTTGGAAGAGGCTGGTTCTTGGAAGAGCGCTGCAGGGTGGCACCTAACGGGAGCTGGAGGAGCTGCAAGGCGGCCCATCCTTCACATGAGGGCAGGCGCTGGGCTGTGTCCCCGAGATCTGTTTTTTGCTGTGTCTTTGTTTCTGCCTCTGACTGCCCCGAACATGAGTGATTTCCCGCTGCTCCCGCGGGTCCTTCGCCTCCTGCCTCACGCCATCCTGGCTTTCTGTCAAGCTCCGCTGCTCCGTGCAGCCCTTGGCCCCTTATCTTGCCCTGCAGACACTGCTGAATAGATCAGACCTGCCCGAGCTGGCCCTAATGCAGCTCTCTCCTCAGCTTTGTGCTCTGCTCAGCACTTCTTCCTTTCCTTTTCTCTCATTCTCTCCCCCTGCTGCCCTCACTTAAAATGTCTTTTTAATTTTTTTAATTTTTTTTTAAAGAATATTCTTTCTTTTGACCTTCAGTAGAGGTGCTAGACCTTATGTTCCCCTCTGATTTATTTATGTTAGATTGTAATTTTTTTCTGATTGGTAACTTGAATCTTTTCACCAGTGCTGCCCAGGAGCTGAGCACTGTCCCAGTAAAGACAAGGATTGTAGAGAACGTTTTGGGCCAGATCCAGTGCACTGAGCCCTTATGATTGGGGAGCTAAGTGAAGATTGTTCGTGATGGATTTTAATCCTTGCCATGCCAAGGCATTCAGGAGCTAATTAAGGTATATTCTGGAGTTGGAAGAAATCTGTTTGTGACTTGCTGGAAAGCAAGGGTGGTGGCCCGGGAAGAAAGGGCTGCAGCCTCTCAGCTCAGATTCTGCAGAAATTTGCATAGAGCGCTGAACATGGCAAATGCTGCAAATCTTGGTGTGGTTAGGAAAAAGCTGTCATTAACAATTGGAGAGATGCAGAACTGCTTTGTCAGAAAGAGCGAGCTTCAGCTTCCTTCCATACGCAAGGAGCTTCCTTCTACTGTTGTTACTTTGCTAAACAGATGGGTATAACAATGTTCTCCATTGCAACCTAAACCTCCAAGTCCAGGCATAGGCAAGAACAACCTGTTCCTCCTAATGGATCTGTGTTGTTACTTGCCCCTATCATTTTGGAGATACCAGCTTTCTCTTTGCTACAGCTCGTAACAATTTGATTGACAAAACTTCACCCTAATTTCAAAGTAAGGCAGTTTCCTGTCTCTGTTTCCAATATAGCTGTCATCAGGAATCTTCTAAGCTCTCTTCTGTTGTAGGCAGATGTTGCCTTCACCTTGAAAAACAGATTGGACCCCAGGAGAGATTAAGGGTGCATGGCCTAGTCGGAGGCAAGGAGCTCTTGCGTCTTGGCTAAGCGCTCAGGCTGTGGCTGCTCCTGAGATTTGTTGCCAGTGACGAAGAGAAGGGGCTGAAGTTCACCGTGCTTACATCCATCCTCACGTGGCTTACTAGAGGAGATGATCCTGTGATAAAAATAACCCCCCGATGTTGACAGTACCTCCTCAGGCCACTTCATCGGCTTGGGGAAGAGAGGCCAGAGGAAGAGGATGCGCATGTACAAATGTGCGTGTAAGGGAACGGGAAGATAGAAGGGATGCGCAGAGGCCCTGGCAGCAGGAGCATGCAAAGTGCTATTGGAAACTTGTTGTTTACACAAATCTTGACTATATCACGGGTAAACTACCAGGTGCTTGGAGAAGGGGATTTTGGGGATCTTTATCTTGTCATTCAAAGATACATATTGCTGCTTTAATCAAGAATATTTCTACTGACTATTTTTGTACCTCTTAAAGAGTTGGTGCCTTTATAATGGCAGTACCTGAAATAGGATGAGGAAGGATAACACTTAGGAGCTGTGTGAATGTATCGTATATGACATCATGTGTCACATATGACATGTGTAAAGATATCATGTATGAGAGACCTTGGTGCGCTCTGTTTTCACCAAAAAAAGACCAGACGAGCTGTTTAATTTTCTGGGCTCTTACTGGTGGTGTCCAGAAGATGTCACTAAGCATCTACAACCAACCCTCCTAACTGGGTAGCTGTGGACAGAGGTCCTGGCCTGCAGATTGTAGTGAACAACCTGGGCCAGGGGACAGTGTGACTAGTTTGTGTGACAGCGCGTTCAGGGTCACCACTGGTGGCCGTGCAGCCCAGGCCTGGGTCCGCGTGGAGGCCGCGGTCACCGTTTGAAGTCTGACTCAGTACAGTGCAATGGGTGATGCTTCTTCCTTGCATTTTGGCTGAGAGCCTCGTGAGTCTCCATTAGGCCCATTTTCCCCTCAGTAGAATTATTGATTGGATGATCTAACACAATGGGACCTTTTTAGGTATAATTAAAGCAATCTTACACCTCTGGAAAGGAGAAAAGGGAGGGAAAAAATGAGTCCTGATAAAGCTACCATATCAGTGACATTGAGGAAGAAAAGTTGCTTTTATGCAGAATTTCAAGGGGATTTCATTGGAGTGAATGAAGAAAATTGTTTTAATAGTAAAGGAAGAAGCTTATTTGACTGGACAGCAACAGCAAAATTGACTCACTAGTTCTATTAAATAATTAGGCGTAGGCTCCATAATTGGTGTAAAGCCTTGAAGTGCTGTGGAAACCAGTGGTCTCTTTCTCTTGGAGGGTTGTGTGGATACAACAGGTGCTGGTGAGGTGTCAGCAGGGACAAGCAGTGCAGTGGGGAAGGAGGGAAGTGAGGGTGCTCACACCAGCTATTTTCTAGAGCATTTACCAAACACTCTTTGTCAGTGTCCAACTCCTAGACCCAATGTCTAGAGGGAATCAATGTCCTGTTGTGTCAGGTGCTATACAAGTACATAGAAAAATGCTGTAATCTTATCGCAGGCAGTTATGTGGGAATGGGAAGTAAAGGATCTAAGGTAATGTTTCATCAATATTGTGCAGAAGGTTTCTGGAGAAGCTGGGGATACTGTTTCATGTTATACATGAGACATAAAGGCATGAAAATCTCTCTCTGATCTCTTGACTTTTTTTTTTTTTCTTTTTTTTTTTTCAGGAGGAAGAGGGAAGGATGGGGCACCCATTATAACCTTCCCAGAATGTGCAGGATTCAGCGACATACCCGACGAGGATTTTCTGAATGTGGTCACGTATCTAACCAGCATTCCCAGGTGAGGCTGATTACAAAAACCTTCTAATTTCCATGAGCTTTCCTTCTTGTTGTGCTACATCTAGTGGTGCTATTAGGAGATACCAGAGTCTCTCCATCCACCTGGTCTGTATGAAACTTTCCCATGGGTAAGAGGCTCTAGGAACCATTTACATCATCTTTGTGGAAAAGAAAGCCTCACACACAGCAAGCTGTTCAGCACTTGGACTGAGTGGGAGAGGGATGTAGATTTGAAGAGCAGCAGTAATGGTAGCAGAGCAAATAAGCGGGATATTTGTGACAAAACCTTGGTGTACTGTGTGTAACAAATGAAGGGTTACAGCTGGAAAGAACTGCACTTAATGGTCCCTGTGGCCATTTATTCTCTGTGTGTGTCTCCTTAGCTAAGGAGAGATAAGAGCTTACATTGAAACAAAAGGGCACTTTAGAAAGGCAAAGTAATATAATGTAAACTGTTTTCATTTCTTTACCCTTCTGGAGAAGCAGAGAGCTCTCATACTTCCCAAGAAATATTCCAAGCTTTGATCAAGACAGAGAAGTTGTCCAAGCTCTCACCCTCAGGGAACAAAGAGGATCCATGCACTCTGGAACTGCAGAAAAGTTTGCCATGGCCCTTTTAAAGTTAGTAGTGCTATGAAAATACACACCAGCTGTCCTGGTTTCAAGGTTATCTAAAAATGGCTGCTGCGAGTTATGGAACATTATGAAACACCACCAACTGCTTGTATATTATCAGGAAAGCTGAAGTTTACTCTGAACAGAGTTTGTTCTGTAAACTGAGTATCGTCTTGTCCTCTTTGCTTCTACAGTCACTTAAAGTCAGTAGAAAGGCTCCTGTTTGGCTTCCGCGATAGCTGAACTTTGTCTCCTGGTCACCATCCCTAAAGGGGCATTTTGCAAACTGCAGATCAATACTTTGATTTTCCTCAGTCTTCTCCTGGAGTTCTAAGCAGCAGCCCAGTAAGGAAGAGACTAAACAAAGCCTTAGTTTCTAGTCTTTGTCTGCTGCTATGTTGCAAAAAAGTGGGAGATTTTCTTGGATGTTTGAAGAGAAAGGAAGAAGCAACGCTGTAAAGGGCTGATGCAGATGATTAGGTTATGGGACTTAGGACTATGGGCTCATGCACTAGAAATTAGCCTTTGGATTGCAGCATAGGGAACTGCTACACTACAGTTATTGCTGTGCTGTTTATAAGAAACTCTAATTACTTGACTGTAGTAGGAAGCACAGGCTTGGAAGAAGCAAGTCTCTAGATCTGTTTTATCACTAAATACAGTGGTGGTAGTGGCCAGCACCCCAGTGGAGGAGGAAAGACAGAATGCTGACCCTGCTTGTGTGTGTGAGGATAGATGGTGGTCCACGTGACAAAAGTTGGACATCATCAGTGTCAGTGCTGGCTGTGAGGTTTCATTAATATTGTCACACTCCTGTAGTCATTTAAATCTGTCTCATCACACTGGATGAGTGAAAAATCACAGAGGTGTTGCTCTTGTGAAACAATTTCCAGCGAGTCAGGGGAAGAGCGAAGCACGTGCCACAGTGACTGCTCTTGCAAGCACCACGTGCTTCTCGATGCTCTGTTTGCTGGGAGATTGCTCCACAGCTAGGAGGTTTGCTCCTTTGCTGCTTGCCTGCGGCTCTGCTAGGGGAGTTACACACACTCACAGCTCTGAGGAAATGCAGCGAGGCTGGATAGCAGCTGAATTGCTTTTTGTTTATCCAAAGAGAGAGTTTAATAATTTTTTCAGCCTCCTGATCCTGTCTGTGAACCATGGCTATTTGTGCTAGCTAGAAGCACAGCAGGGATTTATTATTTCCTGTGGTCTTGTGTATAAAGGTGCTTAGAGGATGACGAGGGGAAAACGTGCCTCCTTCAAGTTTGAGTAAGAAGTTTTCCAGCTCCACCTACATGTATTCCCCATCAGGAGCTGCCAAAATAAGCTGAGAGGAACCACACACTGTGAGCTTAACAGCTTCATTGTTCCACCCTGCTCTGTAGGACCTTTGTTCCACAAGGCAATATTCCTCCTTCTGTATTTCTTCATTAACTTCTGGCCTGGAAGAATAACTAGCTTCAGGGTTAATAAAACAGCAATAGTAACTGAGAAAAACACAAAACTAGTTTGTCGGTTCTTTATGCTTGGGATGTTGGTGGGTGATCCCTTGCTATATTCGCACATGTTGGAGAACCAGCATGTTACATTGTCAGAATAATGAATGGAAGTGTTAAAAGTGGATTCAAAGTTTGGAATTTCAAAATTCATGGAAAATAAATCCATCTGTGACAGCTGAATACAATGGCTGAGATGCAAGCTCTAGTTGAAGAAGTCCATGTATTCTTTAACACTAGGACTTGGGAGAACAAACTAAGGGCAAACTAAGTGTCCTTCTCACTTTGCTTCTGCTCTTGCCTGGCTACCTTTGCTTTTATTCAGTGTATCAGTTCTGTGTTTCCTCTTCCCCTGAGGCATCCCAGAGCAATGTTAAAAGAATGGTGAGTTATGTCTCAGAACCTTGTCAGTAGGTCAAGACAGCAACAGTATATCTATTTTACAGATCAGGAGGTGTGTGTAGGTCATATTTTACACTAAAAACAAGACAGCAAAAATCTGTGTTGAATAAACGACTGCTCAGCTTGATTTAAGATCAGTGACAGGCTGGGATTGGAACCTGCATTTTCTGCACCCCAGCACATGGCTCTGACTCCTGGATTCGATCACAGGTCGCACCGCAGGCATGCGAGCTGTCCAGGTAGTCTGCTGGTCACAGCTGTGGTGCTTTTGCAGAGGCTGACTCTGCATCTCCTGAGATGCTGCTTGGAACTTCCCAGCCTCCCTGCAGAAGGCAAGGGACAAAGCATTCATTTAGAAGAGGAAAAACCTGAGCAGCAAGCTTTGCTTGTATGATTTATGACATAAGCATATGAAGTAAAAACTCCCTGTGGCATAAGAATTGGCCCTGTTTTGATACAGTCAAGCCTTGTTAATCTGCAATTAGCTGATCTGTGCACAGAGAGTCTTTCCTCCGTTTTAGTAAGCAGCAATAGCACCGTTTTTCTCATTTCCATAGTATAGTAGAGCTTAGGAGCATAGTAAAACAGCTTTCCTGTATGCATGTTATTTCTCTGCTAGTAGTTCACCTGTTTTATTCTTGAAGGGGGATGTGTAAGTATCAGAGTGACTGAGAGAGAATGAATAGCCTTTCAGATTGTGGAGTTATACAGGGTATTGCCGTGGCTCAGGTAAGGTGAAGTATAGTTTGAAAAGCAGCTCACCCTGCTTAACATGGAAAATATTTCCCTCTTCATAGATCAATGAACTGGAGAAATCAATAACTTTTTTTTCTGGCAGATGTAGAGAGAACATCTCTCTTTTGTACTGTCTGTTTCTGCATATCCTATAGAATAAGGTTCATGTTTTCTCATCTGAGAAAACATTGAAAAGATAAAGGCAGATATTAGTTGTTGAGATTTAGGTGTACAGGCACCTTCATTCTTCATCTTTGAGGCTGCTGAGTTCATTTACTTTATGAAGCGTTGCATAACACACTATTTTTTGGTGAGCCGTAAGCCAGTCTTGAACTTCTGGCCTTTAAAACATGAACTGCTTTCCAAGATGGCAGATCAGTTTACTGAGACATTTAGAGTCAGATTAATTTTCCCTCTGGTCCAGCTCCTGCTCATGAGAGTGATGCACCAGGGTGCTTGTGTGGATGTGAATGTGTAAACCTGTGCAAACGCATACACCTGTGCTACACACCAGAGAGCTGTAGAAAGTTCTTTCTACTCGCTTTATTCCACAGCCAGAATTCCCCTGTCTTTCAACTGAAGTGGGTCAGCTGCTTGGATGAAGAGCTGCCCATCTCCTTCCTGAAGAGGTCAGGAGATTTGGCCTCCTCAAAGCAGTGCTTGAGAGCTGGCCCGAGGATGGAGCAGCTCAGGTGGTCGTACATGGTTCATTCAGGGAGAGGGAATCTCTCCGCCAGCCATGTGTAGACCTAGACAAATGTGTGAATTTGATCTGCTTGCTTGATGTTTATCTGCTAGGATTTTCTGCGAATCTCTCATTCCATGGAACTAGGTAAATCCACACGCATTTCCATAATGTGTGCAGTACTAACTCTGAAAAACACCTTGATAGAGCGTGTTTGTTGGTTTGCTTTTAAACAAAGCGGGACCTGCACACGGGGGGTGTCTCACCCCTTCGCCTCCCTGCACCGATGCTGCCGTTCTGGCCAAGCTTCTCCTTCCCACAGCTGATTGCCAGCGCCCAGGCCTTGCCATGGCCTTTCCCCTCGGCTTGGGGTCTGAAACGGGATCCCTTGCTGACGGGCTCTCTGTTTCCCTGGCTAAATTTAGGCCTTAAATCAGCCCTTTCTAATTAAAGAGAAAAAGGCATACAAACACGTTGGTCCATCTCACTGAAAGACAGCTGATACTGTCCTGAACATCAAGGTGAAATGCAGGGAATGGCATTGCAGAAGGCCAAGGTATAACTTCGTGTCTAGGTTATAGCCCCATTTTCAAGTTTTGCTGCCCCAAGATACCTCCCTCGGCAAGTCAGTCATCGTGTTGCATCTGTCAGCCTGGCCTGTGGCAGCCAAGACACACAGAACAGTATCTGCGAGTGGTTTCTTTGCTCGCTGACTTACCTCGATCTGCCAGAGCGTTTTTGTGTGATGCAGATATTCCCTCACATTTTTTTCTGGGCTTTGCTTTTCAGCAGCATGTGTTTTTATCATCTTCCCTTCCCCTTCTTTCCCTCCTTCAGATCCTGCATACTTTTAACTGTGTGCTCCTTTTTTTCACCCACTTCATCTCATCCAGTGTTCAATACTGTAAATTGTACATGTGCAATAATTAGCTAAATAGTTTGCTTAATGGCCCGGCTCTAATTTTACCCTGGCAAATCTTTCTCAAATCTCAGGCCTTGATTCCACCTTCATTTGCCTCCACATCTGGGATTGTACCTGCATTTTTGGGGTAGTGAAATGTTGTGGCCCCTTCCTTTTTCCCCAAGGCAGCTGCTGGGCACTGCTGTGTGCTGGGTTTGTCTTTGCCAGCCAGCTGTGGTTGCCACTTAGCACATGGCCTCATGTTCTCTTTTGCTCCTTGCTGATATTTAAATCCAAGTTAATACATCAGTATCTATTTCATATTTCCCTTCCTCGGTCTGTCTCTCTAACTGGCCTGAAACTCTCTGTGGACCACCATGGCTACTGAAGATCCGTGTTGCTATTTCCATATGTTCCTTCCTCCCAGCCCTTCCCACCTCCATGCCTATTATTGCCAAGCTTAATTGCATGAGAAAATTCCTTTGCCTTGCCCCTCCTGCCTTTTCTTGCTATATGGGTCTTTTTCGAGCTCTTGTTCCCATCATCTATGAATTTAATTTTTATTGTCACATCAGATGCCAGGATGCTCTTGTGCTGTTGCAAATCTCCATGGCAAAAGGACGAATGAAATAAGGTGCTGCTAGATCATGGACTTGTGCTTGTAAAAACGTCCAAGGTCCCTCTTTTTAAGAGACTGCTGCCCTCCGTGTCTGAGGGGCTTCGAGTCCGTTCGGAGGCGCATAGGCAAGTTTTACTTGGCACAAATACTTTTGTGTTTGTTTAAATCGCTGCAGTGCTTGTTGCTTTTGGCTGCTGCCGTCTTGTCAGTTATTGCTTTGCAGCTTCCTCGTGAAGGTGTAAATGTAAGAATCTGAATCTGATTTCTTTTTGGGCTCCCAACTTCCACATGAACTCCTTTTAGAAAGCCTCCAGTCAGCCTCTCAAACCAGGAAGATGTGCAAAACAAGGCAATTTCTGTTTGCGGGCAGCTAGTGTGAATATTGGGCTTATGGATAGAGTTATTTGTGGTTTGTGTGCGCCATAAATTTTACGAAGGACACATTTTTCTCTTTTTATTAATCTGATACTGGTTGAGTCATATTTTCTTTAGACCAACATCAACCTTTTGTGAACTTCAGCTAATGTACTTGCTTTGTCAATAATTTTTTTTATAAATCACTGGGTTCAGTGGAACTGTGCTGGATTTGAACTTCATTCTGGGTGTGCAATTAACATCTGAGACTTGTTCAACAACTGCACATTTGTTGGGTGAAAGCTGTGAAAACAAAGTTAGATGCTGATTACAGTAATATATTCTCTGCTTCTTTGCAGTACAGCCCATGTTTTGATAATCTGTTTCGTTCTTTAAAATTATGTCTACTTACCCACTTGCCTGTTGCTTTAACATGGGACTCAAAAATTAACATGGCTGTCTACAATGTGCAAAGGATATTAAAGAAAAATCCTTTTCAAAGGTCATCTAATTGTGTGGCCATTTAAACTGCACTGAATTGCACTGACTTCCTTTTGTTCCCCCAAATCTCCCTGTTTTAGGAAAAAGATTGCTACAAATAACATAACAATCTCTAGCAATTGTTTCCTTTCTGCAGTGACCTGAATGTTTCTCTGCAAATTACTAAACAAAGGAGAAAAATGTTGATGGATCTCACACAAGCAAGGAGGAAAGCAGCACATGGTTATCCCCTCGGTGAAGCAGGGATGTGAGGGTAGCTTGCGAGCTGTCTCTGCTGCTCTGCCTTGGGAAGGATCTTTGGGATCCTCCACAAAATTGATCTAAGGAATCAATTTTCCCTTAAACTTGCAATATCCAGAATGGTTTTGATTTCCTAAACACTCTGTTGCTGTTCTTGATTCTGTACAACTTGGGCAGATGCTCAGAGCTGGTGATGCTAATGCTCTTTGGTGCCTTATTGGCAGGAATTTGCAGTTCAAATCCAGCCCCTCACAAACCATAAAAATGATTTGCCTGGGCTGCTTCATGACCCTTCTGGGCACAATATGTGTTTATAGAGTAAGGCAAAAAGTGGTGTTATGCTCTCCAGTGAAAAAAGTAGCAATTTTGCCTGCTGCTTGTAGGGACAAAGGAAAAGGGATCAATGTTTTGTTCAACTTCTCTTGTTCTTCATCTGTGCAAAGGCCAGGAGGTAAATAGCTTTTTGATTGCAGGTTGTTTGATTATAACACCGTGTACTTTTTCTGCCTGGCTTGGATTTGACCAGAGATGACTGAGCCATCCTGATATAAAGAAATTTCTGGAGTTTTTCTCTTAGTTTGCTCAGCTGTGAAGACTCTGTGCAGCTCTGAGCCCTCATGGAGGGCAGGGAGAAGAGCAGCGCCCCCAGAGCCCTGCACAGCAATGGGATTTCTGAGTGGGGAAGGAGGGGATATCTGTGAGATTGGTATGAGCAGGATGGAGAATCAAATCAGTGACTCATAAAGACCCCTGGAAAAGCACAGGCAAGGAACTGTAGCTGTAAATTATTCTAGTCAATATATTAAGATGGTAGTTTCAAATAGCTTCCAGTCTTGCAACTACTTTGTGGATAGGTAGGATATATCTGTGCTCTCTTAAGCTCTTTCCTTGTGCTCCCGAATTGCCTGGGCACTGTGTGGAAAGGGAAGGTAGGGATGGTGGGGAAATCCATGTCAGTCCTGGAGCCAAGTGTCCTGGCAGCCGTCAGCACGTTTGGAGAATGAACATTGCAGTGGGGTGCCTGATAACTTCAATTACTTTGCAGAGCAAGCAAGATCTGAGGTTTTTCCCTTCGATGCAGCACAGCGTAATTTGTGTTCCTGAACTATTCATATCACCTAGATTTGGCAGCAAGTAGCATAGCAGCTGAGAGATTTAGCAGATAAAATATTCATGCTTTGTGGAAGCTGCTAGCCTTACACTGGAGAGAGGCACATTTGCTGTCTTTCCCGTTCCCCTGAATTTCTGCCAAATATTCCTTCTCTCTGCTGTATGTTGCACTTTCCTAATGGGATTGGAGGGTGATCTGATGGAGGCTGTGTTTTGCTGCAATACACTTCCATGGAACAGCAGGATCTCCGCGTAACGCAGTGTACTTATTTAATGTTTTGCAGTCTTGAGGCTGCCAGCATCGGATTCATCATCATCATAGACAGACGACGGGACAAATGGAGCGCAGTCAAGGCATCGCTGACACGAATAGCAGTAAGTGCCTGCCTTTGTTTTTTATCTTCCAGAAATTAAAATTATCCGCTGAATCTTCAGCGGAGGATACAGTCTCATGAGCTCACTTTCAGCTCTTTATTTTGGCTGTTGATGCAGTTTCTCCCCAATCCCTGAGGTCATGCATGTTAACCAGGAGATGGAGGAAGCTGCAGTAACAGATTGCCAACCTTGTTTACTGCTGAATTAGGACAGATTTCTAATTTGCCAGGACAGATTTGTTATGTTCCGGTGTGACTGTGCTATTAAGTCTAGTGATCTGAAGTGGGTTCCCAGAAGTAGGAGAGTAGCAGAGTCTCCCCTCTGTGCACCGAGAGAAGCGACAGCAGGGCCTGCTTGGGAAAGAAGGATGCCAAGGTGATCTGAAGTGGGTTCCCTGAAGTAGGAGAGTAGCAGAGTCTCCCTTCTGTGCACCAAGAGGGAAGCGACAGCCGGGCCTGCTTGGGAAAGAAGGATGCCAAGGGACTTAGGTTTATCTGGTGGTAGGTGATCTATCTCAGAAAAAAATGTCCTAAGATGGCTCATTTGGGCAGGTCAGAGTTAAGCTGATTTTCAGTGCTAATAAAAGCAGATGCTGTTGTAGGTGTGTTATCTGGAACGTGTGCTCTGCAAGGAACAACAGCTTTTATGTAGCCCTTGGTTGCATCAGCTCTGAGGTTTAGGGTAGAGGGATGTCCAAGGTGACTTAAAGTCCCCTCAGGGAGTGTGGATCGAACTGGCTTTCATTTATTGTTCGTTTATCTTCCTTCTCCTAGAAATTGTTCTTTGTGGTGCTTGATGAGCTCAGGAAAGGGCTGCAGGAGAGATTTGCCTGGGTGTTGTGAACGGGGCCAAGCCTGAGGAAAGTGCCGGGTGGCTGTGTGTGAGCAACACTTAGGATGTTAAAAAAAGCTAAAAGAATTAGAAAAACCTTTGCAGGCTGTGAAGATAGGTCAGTCAACTTGGGGAATCCATCTGTGCCACCTGCTCCTGTCACCAAGTGCCGTGCAGGTCGCTGGCTTTGTGCAGGGAGCTGCTCTTGCCCTGGGGTGGCTGCAGCCTGGGCAGGGGGAAGCTGTGGTGGGGTTGGCACCGGCTCCCGTCTGGGAGCAGGGAAGGAGAAGGGATGGCTGGTGCAGAAGCTCCAGAGTTTGTGACAAACCTTTATGAAAACCCACTGCATGGTCGGGCACTAAAACCCTGCGCTGGTCTGTCCTCTGCCCGCGGTGGGACAGGCCGAGGGTGGATGTGTCCTGCCCGTGTTGGCCTTCCTGCAAGGCCGAGTTGTACCCTCTAACAGTTTGGTGTTCCTTGCAGGGCGCGTTTCCAGGAAACCTGCAGCTGGTGTTTGTCCTGCGGCCCTCCCGCTTTATCCAAAGGACAATCGCTGACATCGGCATTAAACTCTATCGGGATGACTTTAAAATGAAGGTACCGGTAAGCATGCATATTTTTTGGTCCATGCATACTCCTTATCTCCATGTCTGCAGTTCCTAGGTGTCAGCAAACTTCTCATAACCCATAATTATCATTTGATTGCAAGTGCCAGTCAGGGGCTTTGATCTGGATCTGCGCAGCGTATACAGTATCAGGAAGATTGAGCTGAAACCTGAATGAGCTCGAACGAGCTTTGAGGTGAATGTGGGAATGTTTGCAACTAGCTTCATTATGTGCATCAGATGACTTTTTTTGGCTTTCATTCCAGTGGTGGGGACATACTGGAAAAAGAGCAGAACCTGTTTGTGTATTTAGCAGTGCCTGCTTAAGTTGTGTTTGTGGGATTTGCCACTATTAGTCGCAGTAATGGCAAAGAGTTAACTATTGCTGGAGGTTTAGCAGGATTTGAATGCACGTGTTCCCATGTAGAAAATCATTTTTGCTGCAAACTGGGTTGAAGTCGTGTCATCTCAGCTGTTCTCTCCGAGGAGCTGTTCCCACGTTGTAGGCGGGGATCTCGTCACTGCAGTGACAAACACGTGGTTGGGGTGGCCACGCTGCGAAGGCTGCGCTGAACCCTGTGCTGGTTTGTGTGTCATCCACAATGTTGAGAATCTGACAGGGGCTGTTGAGAATCAGACAGTGTCCTGGTTACGTGTTTGCAGGAAATTGCCTCTCTGTGATGTCTTTTATGGTCCCCACCCACGCAAGGTTCATAGCTGGCTTTGTGCTTCCTTTCTCCCTACCTGACACGTGCTGGGCTGGTGAGAATGTGATTTGCAGCAGATGATCCAACCTGAGACACTCTAAGTTTTGGATTGTTCTGTGTGAGTTCCTCGGGAGTTGTTCCTAACTGCGTGTTTGCCTGTGGTTTCAGGGCATTTTATAAATAAGCTTGCATGATGATTATTAATGGTATTTCATCTTGGAACAGGTTCATGCTGTGTTCCTTGCTGCTTTTACCAGAGTCACCTCACTTACTGTTTTGGATTTTGCTTCTGGCTTCAAATTCTTTTACAAAAGACCCATGGCTCTCCTGTCAATGCCTAAGTTTGAAGTTCAGATAAATTGTTTTACAAAAGACCCATGGCTCTCCTCCAGCAAATACCAGACTCTGTCAATGCCTAAGTTTGAAGTTCAGATATTTAAGACACTTCTTGCTCCCGCTGAAGTATGAGACAGAAGCTTATTTATTAAAGGGGGAATGCAGAAAAGAAACTGTGAATATATTTTTTTGGTATTGTGGCTTAAATAGTACCATTATCTGTAGGCTGACAAGGATGCCTTTTCAGTACTAAATTGATATTAAAAATATATGTTCAAGTACAAAGCAAACTCTTGTAATTTTTTAGCCCTTAATTTTTTTAATGGATGCTCCTGTAAGCCACAATTTGTTACCGTAGCAACCGCCAGGCACAACTTAATGAGAGAGGAGCATTTGCTAGCAGCTCAGCATCTTCTGTGCTTTTAGCCATTCCTTTGATGACAGGATGTCCTTTCAAGTTTGAAACCTCCAAGTCTAGAGGGGAGGGCACTTGCAGCAAGGATCAAGAACTGCAATAAGTATTTAAATAGGTCCTTCTTATAGACAGCAGAGTCAAGGCAGGAGTTTGGTTCTGAGTCCTTCTGGACATGCAAGCTTTGAGACACTCGGTATGTTCACACCGCTCTTAGCAGCCTTTCAGAAAACCAGGAGCGAGGGGTCCTTGTTGCTCCATCTCCCTGCCTCCTGCCCACGTGGCTGCTTGCAGCCTGCCCTCGACAGCCTTGGGGTATTCTAGGTTGCTTGGTGCTCTCTTTGCAGCTCACCTCAGAAAGACCACCTGGATATGCACCTACTGAGCCCAGCTTCAGAGCTGCTGAAGTTATTGGGAGAGGAAAGAATCTATTTGTTCTGCTAAAAAATAGCATCCTGCATGCCAAGTGTTAAGAGCAGGGCCAAAGAGTCCTGATCCCAAGGGAACTATCCTTACTGGGGAACTACATACCAATACCATTCCTTAATACCATTATAAGCCTTTAAGCCATTTGCAGATTTGTGCATGTTGTGCATTTGGCATTGTGACAATGTTAATGCCATAACTGGGCCATGAATATGTTGCGTTTCCTATAACAACTAGAATAAATATGAGTAAGGGCCAGACCAGGAACATGCAAAAGAGGCTACAAGAGTGTGGCATGAATTTGATAAGAAAACACAGAGTTCATCTGAGCTATCAGGATGCAAATATGTTCAATAAAATAGATCTGCTGAGTTAAATCAACATTAGATTGAATACAAACCGGAAGATCAAATAGGAGCAACAGAGAGGCCAAAATAATAAAACCAGACACAATATGAAAATGCAGGGTTTATATGGCTTACTGGCATATAAATGTGATAAGGCTGATAAAAACCTGTGGAAGAAAATTTTGAGAAACTGCCTCTTCCCAGGAACAAGATATGAGGGTTCAGCCAAGATAAAATCTGGAAAACAGTGAGGGCCACACAGAGACAGGGCTCCAGTGTCTCTCCAGCATCTGTTGCTGCAGATTGGCTGTTTTTGCTGTGGCGAGGAGCGTGGGGCATGGTAGGACTTTGTAAGATCTGCCTCTTAGATGCTGAATGGCTCCCTGTTCCTCTCCTGCTGAGATGCCTATGGGGGAACGTAGCACCATATGTGGCTGTATTAAAAGATTTGCTTTGTCTCTTGGGCTGAACGTATCGGGTTAGAACAAACATCTTCACGGAAGCGAAATGCATGGCAGTTTTCTGCTGCAGCTTCAGTGAAGTTTGGAGCATCAAAAGATTTCTAACTTGTCAGCGAGCACTCTGTGGGGGAAGAGCTCTCAAGCCCTTATGTCTTCTCAGCCTTCGCGCTCCAGGCTGAGGTTAATCCAAGATGATCTAGGTTTTTGAGTCGTCTGGCTAAGATCATCCCAAAGCAGCTTTTGGTTTTACGTTCAGGGAGCAGCTCTCCCTTTAGATTTGATGGAAGCTCCCAATGCCGAAGGACCTGGGCTTGTTTATCCTGGAGAAGGGAAGGCTGGGAGGGGGCAACCCGACAACAGCTTTGCAATAGCTCTGAGCAGGCTGCTCACAGCCAGGTTGTGCATTTGCAGGAGGACGAGAGATGATAAAGTGAAACAACAGGGATCCTGACTCGATACAAGGAAAAACATTTTCATCATGAGAAGGATCACACAATGGATAAGGCTGCCTGGAGAGGTTTTGCAGTCCCAAATCTTGATGCTGTTTAGGATTCAGCTGGATACAGCCCTGAGCAACCTGGCCTGATCTCAAAGCCGACGCACCTTTGAGAAGGCTGGACTAGAGACCTCAGGTTCCTGCCAGCCTGAATTATTCTAGGATGACTCTCTAACCAACATTAGTTTACAAACTTGTTTAGGCTTGTTCCCAAGACTCTTCTTACAGCACTGTTCAGCTTAAAATGTGAGGCTTCTTGCCTCTAAAAATCTATGCTCATCTCATTGTGCTCAGTGTTGCGCTGAACTTAGCTCTCTCTGTTGGAATTAATGCGTGCTAACAGGCATAGCCACTTACCCTTCCTTAAACAGCAGAGCCATGTAATACATTTGACACATCTGTTAAAGCCTACGGCTTAAGATTTGTAGTCATTTGTGCCCAACACCTCATTTTCTGTTGTTGAAGTCAGAGTATTTTCTAGCTGTTAGGATAACAAGGTATAATTAAATTCATGTGTGTTTTTTGCATAACTGCTTGTGTCTTGTGTTGTTAGATACGACATTATTAGTTTTTGGCTAGCACTGTAAATGTTTACCTGAAGCTTATAGTGAATCTGGTTTTGCTTTCATGTAAGCAGACTAATGATGAGAGACGGTTCGGAATGAGAATAGGAATTCAGGTTTGTCTCTCCTTTCTCTTACATCATGATAAAATAGGAAAAGCACCAGTTGGTGAACACACAGTGACCTAAAATGATGCAAATGAAAGGAGAATTTTGTTCTTAGTCATCTAATTTCATTCAAGCATTTCCATGGATCGTGCTGTTGATCTTGAGGAAGTTGTTTAACCTGTTTCACAGTAAATAATGATTATCTACAGAACACAGAGATGTTTTGACGAAATTTTAAGTGAATATCATAAATACCATACTTCTATTCTCGTTGCATGTGCAAAACAGCTTCATCCTCCACCTATCAGGGAGCAAGGTGGTATCAGCCTATGGATAGTTTTAAAATGACCATGTGCATGTTGAGAAAGCAAAATGTAGAGCAAATAAACTGTGGCCATTACATGATAAATACATAATGAGAACTTACTAGCTATTGTGGAATTGCACTTTGGCTGTATATGTTAAAGGCAAATCCTCGAATCCTAGGAAGAGTGACCGGAAGGGCTCACGTTTCTGTCAGTTAATCCATCGTGTTGGGTTCCTCGTTTCAGATCATCATGCTGAATTCGGTCTCGGATCTGCACGGGTACATTGACAAGAGCCAGCTGACACGCGAGCTGGGAGGAACCCTGGAGTACGGCCACAGCCAGTGGATCCACCACCGAACCGTGAGTGCTGGGGATGTCCCCTCGTGTCCGCGTCCGTGCCCAGGGCGGACCGGCTGATGGCCACAGAGCAAGCACCAAGGAACAACTCCCCAGCCACGTTTGAGCCTGCAGATTTTACTAGGGACTCATGAAAACAGGAAAGTTATGACCCAAAGGGAGAAGAGTAAATCCTGCAACAGCTTCTGACTGAAACAGTTGATTTGTATTTCAGTTTCAAGCTAT